CATAGTACAGTCCGCCGTTATGTGTGCAGATTCTTCTTTGCTTTAGCACTAGAGATACAAAGCTAATGTTGCTAACAAAACTAGAAGTCAATAGTCACTCAAATCTTCTCTGTAAATACATCTTCAAATCTTGTCTCAACTCAAACTGCATCCAGGTCTTCATTAAGTTGATGCAGACTGGTCAGTGTGGTTTAGGATACAGTATGACTTACTGTGAGCAATTAAAATAAACCAATTTTTGTAATTGTACTTGGGGCAGCTACTTTAGACAGCAGGCATAATTCCAACTCCAGTTCACATGATTGCACGTCACACAGGCAAATGGTCACTACAGATTACATTCGTAAAGTGAACTGTTGTTTCTTTTTATAAGATTTTATAAGGTTTTTATGGTGATTCAGCACAACACTCGGCTAACATGGTTCACACTACGTTATGCTGTATCCTAAACCACAGCGACAAGGACACATGTTGAGCGAATTGAGAGAAGTTTTGAGGATGTTTTTGTGGAAAAGATTTGGGTGACTATTGATAAAGAAATTGTTAGCAACGTTAGCCTCGTAATTCCAGAAGTAAACTAAAGAAGCTTCGCTGATTGACTACATCTGGGCTGAGTGGAAAGGTGTGTAAATCAGATTTTTGGGTGACCCATTCCTTTAACTGTCTGCAGTCTTTTATTACAGTTCTCAGTAATCTACATTTGTGGGATGTTGTTGGATTTTCATGTTTTGGTCACTAACTGATGAGTCACTGGAATGAACCAGGGCCCCGTATTACGCTTCAGAGGCCTCTTGTGATTTAGTCTCTTGCCGTACACAAATCCCTCTGAGCTCTCGGGGCCAAAACCATTCACAGGCAGAGAGGTAAAAACGAGAATGACCACCTTCTGCAGCTGTGCGCTCTCTCGGCCATGCCTCCTCTTCCTCCCCGCGGCAGGCATCTCCTTGGCGACGGCCCCGCTCTCCGATCGGACTGTGCCTTAGTGCTCGAGAGCTAGTTAGCAGCGTGCTGATGGGTAGAGGACGGCGAGGCGCAAGGCATCAGAACACTCCACTTCAATCCTATCTGCCTGTGCCAGCTTGGCCTGCTGCCCAGAGGGTGCATGTGTAGGGGAGAATTGGCATCAGACCAAGGATAGAGCATGCGGCTGCCGATAGCTGGATCTGAGCTATTCAAGGCTGCGTTAAGGCACGGCTGAGCGGAGAGAGCGAGAGAAATACCATAGAATGACCTAGACACAGGCAGCTGCAGCGGAGGGCGCTAGCATCAACACAGCTACTCTGCAGGGTAAAAAACACACGTCAAATTTACTGGATTTAAATTTAAAGAGGTCTCTGATATATTTGAATGGAACTAATTGTGCCTTCACTACATTTGAACACAATTATTCGCACCATAACCTTTTTTTACAGTAGCCATAAAATGCAGTTTTCCCCTGTTTTGGAGGTTCCTCAGCCGAACTGTGCAGTCTTTGCTCAGTAACATTGATGGAATACATTTCACTGGAAAAATAAACGCTGCTCGCTGAAATCCCCTCTGTTGTGTGGTGAACAGGAATGTTGACCTGTTTTGCTCTGTGTACTTTATTCCTCTGAATGTCACTGGATTCTCTGAATTATCAGGTTGTCAAGAAGGTGAAATACAAATATTGCTACATGCAAACTAACACTGCTGTGGATTTAAGTTGACATCATAAGACTGGTAACCTTAACAAAACACCACGCAAACCGTCAAGCTTTATCAAATGTGATGGTTAAATGTCTTTGGCAGTGGCTACCTGCAGTCTGAGTGGCTGATATTGTTAGAGTTGAACTTCAGAGGCTTTTTGAACATAACTAATTACAGATTCACTGGTATCAGGTTAGATTACAGATTACAGGTATCACAGTAACTGCTAAGTAAGTACATTAGTCAGGCCATCCAGAGAACACAGAGAACACACCTCTGTACTGTTCAGTGCACAATTACTGTTAACTGTTAACTTACTGTTAATAAAATCATTAACCTCAACAAATAAATAGAAATTGTGCATAGAGGATGATAACTAGTTTGCACTTTATATAAATTATATAAATTATATAAATTACAAAATATGTAGTTTGACTAGGAGTGTTGAGACTTTTGCATGAGACTGTATGGACTTTTTCATATACAGTTAATGTGATACATTTCAAATATCAAGAAATGGGAAGGGGAAAGGGGTCACACAGAGAAGTGTGTGGAATGGCCCTACACACACACACACACACACACACACACACACACACACACACACACACACACAGTTTCATAACTGCTACACCTCAACCATTTAACTGCTCAGGAGTTCAGCACACAGAACATGTTCCATGCTGAAAAGCGGCCTTTTGTTTGCCCGAATCTGATCCAGTTGAACTATTAATTTATGGCCACTGGCGGAGCCTCGCACACCCCCTACGGATACCTGTGATGGATGCACAGAGAGAGAGAGGGAGAGAGAGAGAGGGAGAGGGTTGCTCTGTACCTCGCTCCTGTCTCCTCCAGCTGCTCCTAACAGGTGCATGCCTGGCTCACGCCAGATGGTCAGCAAAATGAGGTAGTTGGCAGGTTCCTTCACAGAGCGGCCCGTCCCTTCACACATCTCCGGGCAAGAGAGAGAGATGGAGGGAGGGAGGGAGGGAGAGTGTGTGAGAGAGAGGTGTCCAGGAGAGTTTAGTAACGGAAAAATGAGAGAGAATCAAAATCAATTATTAACATGAAGTAAACTCACAATTTCCAAATAAGGATTAATAAAAATGTAAACTCCTGTGATGCATGTGAGATCTGAATGGAGGCCGCATGCAAAAGAATTTGATATTTGGATGGAAAACGACAAATCTGTGTCAGAAGAATCACATTTATATGGCAAGGACCTTCTTTGTGGTAAATCTGGAGAAGGTAGAAAATGGATGTCCACTCATCATAGAGTTAGACTCTTAGTAACAGTGTTTATTTATTTATTTTTAAATATAGTCAGAAGGAAAAACATCATAAATGCCCAATTCTGTTTTTGACGAAGTACTAGATTTTGTTGCAGTCCATAACTGAAGTGTGCAGCGAGTAAAAGGAGGATGTACTGAAGAAGTACTGATATGCAGACTAACTGATTACTGTTGTACTTTGTCAGTTCAGATGTGTTTGTGTGGTGCTTTTTAAAACAGGCATTAACATAAAGCAGAGTCAGCAGTTCAGGCCTTTAGTGAAGAAGCCAAGTGGCAAAGAGAAACTAAGAGGAAGAGGAGCCAAGACTCAGAAGGGGAACCCATCCTCCTCCAGTCGACACCAGACAGCAGGACAATAATAGAACAAAGGCAACATGTAATGAGAAAAATGATTAAAGATGTATATGACTAATAAATATTCTATAATGAATAAAGAAAAGAGGGAAGCCTGACCGCTAGAAGCTTTCAGAATAACCTAAAGCAATGAGAATAAGAATTAGACCCCTGATTGCCATGAGGGTGTTAGATGAACAGGTAAGGGACTGTATAGGAACTATAGTGTGAGGCAGGTGTACAAAGTCTAGTAGAGAGTGGTTTTAGTCAGAGTCAAACACAGACCGAAGAAGAGGTTTTAGTGAGAGACGATGGACTATTCACTATTCACTATTCACGTATCCATGACATCCAGCTCTCCGTTCCATTCACTCCTTCATAATGACACAAGCTACCTACATGCTGCCTTCTATGTAAACACACACACTTTCTCTGTCTCTGTCTCTGTCTCTCTGTCTCTCTCTCTCTCTCTCTCTCTCTCTCTCACCCTCCCTTGTTCACTGCTTTTGGAAGCACTATACACTGTTTTTACAGTATGATAAAGCTATAGTAGTTACCTTACTGTCATGTATCTTAGCTTGTGTCATGTATGCATCAATATTCATATCTCAACTATTTAATGACTTGCAGTTCAGATGAGTCAGAGGAAAAATGTACACAGGACAAAGTTTATCAATTTTGGAACAATTTTTGATTTTTTTGTGATTTTCAAAGTTCCTAATTTTTCGCAAAGACAAAAACGGCCTATTTGCTCAATGCTGACTGAAATCAATGCATGACCTCAGAGCTCTGTTGTGTAATGTACATTACATATTGGACATGTATCAGTGATATGAACTATGTTATGGTTCATACTACAGTGTATAGTTATACTATATATTTGACGATTTCCTTAAGATGTCTCCATTTAATGAACTTTAATAAATCACGTTTTTTATTGTGCATTCCAGATAATATCAAACTGCAGTTGAGTTGTTTTAATTAAGTAAAAATAACTCAACAAATACAGGTAACTTACAAAATAAACTTTATTTAAATGTAGTTTCTGGCAAAAGCAGGTAACTCCAATGGTCATTTCATGTTTCTTTTAAGTGCAATATTTAACATTCTTTAATGTAAAACAAGTAGCTGAAAATTGCAACAAAAATAATAATGAGCAATATTGTGCGATTATAAGCTCAGACCTCAGAAAATCATAAGGCTGAATCTTAAATGGCCCACTGTTCCCTGTATAGTCAGTATGTGAGTTATGAAATTTGGTCTTTTTCACCCAAATATTGGTCTTTGTGTATGAATCGTCTCTCATGGCTGAATCCAGAGTGGTTCTCTGTTAGACTCACTGAGCTCTGTTTAGATGCAGTAGCTGTTATTTAAAGACTACATTTGAAGGGAGGATCCATTTGAGCTGTTTTCTGCCTAAAACAGTTCGCAGCCGTGTTGCATCACCTGACCTGAATACTGCGCACTGATTGGCTGAACGGATTTATCAGGTTCTGCTCAAGAACAGCGCTGTCACTTGACTGTTTCTGCTGTGAAACGTAAACTTGTGATGCCTTGACACTGGACAATAATGGCCTTTGTGACCAAACGTATGTCGGGTTCAGAATGTGCAGAATGTTATGAATAACTCATAACTCGATTTTTAAAGGACGGCGTGTGTCGTTTTTTCAGATGAACTCTGATGAACTTATGTGTTTCTTTTGCCAGGTCCTGACAGAAGAAGGATTTGGACCAATCACCACAGAGATTGCCATGGCTAAAGAGTTCTTCTATGCCGAGGACTATCATCAGCAGTACCTCAGCAAGAACCCTGGAGGCTACTGTGGACTGGGTGGCACTGGAGTTTCGTGCCCAATTGGACTGAAAAATTAGCAAAAATTAGCATTAGCCTCCTGTATTTGCACTGTATGATCTCACTTTGCCTTAATTTCAGACACGTCTTCTATAAAAAAGTCTCAGTTTCAGATCTATAACAAAGAAAATATTGTCTGCAAAGAAATAAAATGATCCCGATGCAGCAGCTGTGTTTGTGTTGAATGCTGTTTCGTGTGTCTTTGTCTTGGGCCAGTGCTGGGTTAGATATCACAATAGTATCAGATCGGTACTGGTTTTAGTGGTGGATAATAAAAATAATTAACTACAGTTTATTTCATTTGCTGGATGATTCATATTGCTTTTTAAAAACGGTTCAAAAATGTGGTCTCTGGTTTACAGTAACATGAAGAGAAACGGAACTGAACAAAACACCCCAATCAAAACGTGCTGAGTCAGGTTTGTATAATCTCAGAGCAGAGTGTCCTGCTACTCAGAAACTACCCTTCACCCTTCATTTACTACAGTCAAAATGACCATTAAGTGTCATTTTTCAGCATCAGGGAAAAAAGCAGAAAACATATTTAACAAAAAATGACACACCGTAGCAGCTAAATATTATTTATGTGTTTTTGTCAGTTTTTAGTGTGTCCACTCTTTGCCTTTATTACAGCGTCCATTCTTTTCAGGAGACTCACTTTAGATTTTTCTAAGAAATCTGTAGGGATATTTTTCCACATCTCCAAAGTTCAGTTTTGAAATTACTTTTTCTGTTTCTCACAATCCCAGTAATCCCAGACACATTCAGTGATGTTGAGGTCTGGACTCTGAGATGGTCAGTCCACTGCTCTGATAAAACCAGTAGCTTCTTTCTTTGATTCAATTCTTTTTTGTCTATTTCATTTTCTCAGTAGTGACTTTTCAACAGTCAGACCTGTAACATTAAGTCGTCTTCTCACAGTGGAAGGATGGATAGAAACACCTGTGGATGTTTTCAGATCTGAAGCAGCTTGATTTTCTCCTCTCTCTCAGAGATGAAAGCTCTGGGTTGTTTATCTGATGGGGCAGTTTTAGTGTCTACCAGCTCTTCATACTGCATTTTGCCAGTGCTGCCCAGCACTGGTTCTGACTTCCATAATGTTCTCGTTGCCTCCTTCAAAGTACCGTCACACTCCTGATTCTGGCTCTTTGTTCCCGGTGCTTGCCAAAGCGTTGCTAGCATACTTGTATCATGGTGACATAAGAGGAATGTCTCTTTGTAATCAAATATGCAGCTGGAAAGTGTTTTAAAGTGCTGACTATGTCCACAAATATATATTCTCAGTGGTTTATTATGAGATAACGTGATAATGATAAATAGTGTCATTGCCCAGCCATAACTGCAATACTTGATACTTCAACCTGCCCCCCTCAGTGCTTTATAATGCTGCACACATCATTATAAGCAGTGCTGCAGTAAATCAGTTGGCGGTTTTGTTTGTTGTGGAAAGAAGTTCAAACTGAGTCACACTGTAAGCAAATAAAACAACCCAAACTCACACACAGACTGCAGCCCCGCCCCACACATCCTTCAGAGGAGGAAGAGCTGCTCTCATCATGGCAGGCAGGACGCGCTTGTGTGTGTGTGTGTGTGTGTGTGTGTGTGTGTGTGTGTGTGTGTCCTCGCATCCATCTGTCTCCTCCGTCCGCACACATATCTATTCATCCTTCCATCTGTCCGCTACCTATGTGTTTGCTTCCAGCCTCGCCACCACAAACAAGTGTTCTGTGCTGCTCAAAGCGCCGCCGCGTGTTTCATTTTCTCCCATTAGCGAGACGCTCCAGCACAGGAGGTTCGCTCTACATCCACAGCACAATCAGAGAATCAGGCTTTTTGAGGAGCCCCTGGTTTCCCTCAGAGTAATCCACTGAGCCGGTGTGACGGGCCCAGGTTCTGGGGCTGGGCAATCAGAATAATTACGCTATCAGAAAATGATTCTGATGTATTGCCCAGACGTGTCCTCCCACTGTTTTAGCGAAACACCAGCCCCAAGAATCGCTGAAATGAAAAACGACCTAATCATTCAGGTGTAAACAGAAAATAACTCACATCTACCTTCCCGTACTCTCTGTTCAGCTCATAACAAACGGTACATATTTTCTTTAGCATTTCAGCTTTTAAAAAAATCGCAAAACATAATTAAGATACTGTAAAGTGTAGTTGTGAACCGTGACTAATAGGGTTAAGCCTTCGGTTTCGGCTAGAAATGTCAAATCAAAAACAACCCATGACCCATAACCCACCAAATGAACCAACATATTAAACGCTCATTTCCGCTGGCTCCACTATGGGATTTCCAATAGTTTAATAGTTTAATGTTGATGTCTTATGCTAAAAATCCTTTTTCAAGATCTCAGCCCTCTTGATCCCAACCAAATCTTAACAGTGAAATAAAAGTACTACTATGGCTTTTACTAATATAGACTTTAAAGACAAGTTTCTATTAAATACAAATATCTTTTTTGCCAAGACCGTCTACATCCTTTAGCCAAGTGTGAACCACTGAGGCTCTTCTTTCTCTCTGTTAGTGTTCATTACTGCTCCAGTATCATTGATATAAATGAACAAAGGCTTCAACTCCCACATGTGCATAATAGAACTACGTTCCTGGTTTTCTTTCCCAGATTTCTATGCTGTAATGAAGGGTAGATAAGCTGAACGGTGTTTGAAAACAGGGCATGGTTTCATTTGGCTTGTACTTTTACATCTACTATTTGGCATGAAGTGCATGAGGAGTGTGTTTGGAATCATATTATTCTCCCAAAGGAACAAACATGCTTTACCATCTTGGCGATATTCAGTCACCTCTGCTAAAACAGACACGATGTTATTATGAAGTTATTACTGTTTTTCCTAAGATATTGCCAACTTTAACTCGTTAAAATCTGCTCTGAGAGAAGTTGATCATGTCCACACTGGGCAAAGTGAAATCTATCATGTGGCATTACAGCTTCCTGCTGTGTGTTTTCTGTCCCAGTGCAGTGTTCCGAGAGTTCCTACAGATCCTTAAAAAGTCTTAAAACATGTAAAAAAGTCATGAAGCTCATAAAGGCTTGAAAATGCCTCTTTTATACAACCTCATTTCCAAAAAAGTTGGGACGCTGTGCAGAATGTAAATAAAAACAGAATGCAATATTGTGCAGATCAAGTGAACCATATTTTAAATTAAAAATACTACAAATACTATTTGTACACTATTTAAATACTATTTCAACAAATCAAATGTTGAAACTGAGAATTGTTTTGGTTTTTGAAAAATATTTGCCCTTTTTAAATTTAATGCCAGCAACACATTCCAAAAAGTTGGGATGGGGGCCTGTTTACCACTGTGCTTCATCACCTCTTCTTTATCAACACTCTTACAGCGTTTGGGAACTGAGGAGACACTGCTGTAGTTCTGAAAGTGAAATGTTATCCTGTTCTTGTTTCATGCAGGATTTCAGCTGCTCCACAGTTCAGGGTCTCATTTGTCGTATTTTTCATTTCATAATGCAACAAATGTTATCAGTGGTGACAGATCTGGACTGCAGGCAGGTCAGTTTAACACTCGGACTATTTTAATACGGAGCAATGCTGCTGTAATACATGCAGAATGTGGTTTGACATTGTCTTGCTGAAATAATCAAACATTTTTAAATTTCTTAAAAAAGACGTCGTCCGGATGGCAGCATATGTTGCCAAAACATGTATATATCGTTCAGCATTAATGGCGCCTTCACAGATGTGCACGTCACCCATGCCATGTGCACTAATGCTCCGCTACACCATCACAAATACTGGCTTTTGAACTGTGCACTGATAACAAGCTGGATGGTCCCTCTGCTCTTTAGCCAGTGTCCATGATTTCCAAAAAGAATAAAAAATTTTGATTTGTTGTTCCACAAGACACTTTTCCACTTCATCTCAGTCCATTTTAAATGAGCTCGGGCCCAGAGAAGGTGGCAGTGTTTCTGGATCCTGTTTATATACGTGTTCTTCTTTGTGTTTTAGAGTTTTAATTAGCATTTGTGGATGCAGTGTGTTTTCACAGACAGTGTTTTTCAGAAGTGTTTCTGAGCCCATGCAGTGATTTCCACTACAGAATCATGTCTGTTTTTAATGCAGTGCTGCCTGAGGGCCCAAAGATCACAAACAGCAAATACTGGTTTTTGGCCTCGTCCCTCACATACAGAGATTTCTCCAGATTCTCTGAATCTTTTAATGATATTATGTACCGTAGATGATGAAAAGCAAAAGTTCTTTGCTATTTTATGTTGAGATTTTTGAATTGTTGCACTATTTGATGGTGCAGTCTTTCACAGAGTGGTGAACCCCTCCTCATCTTTACTTCTGAAAGACATTACTGACCCGTTTGACAGTTAGCATAATTAGTTGTAAGATGTTCCACCAGGTGTTTTTTTTAGCATTACACAACTTTGCCAGTCTTTTGTTGCCCCTGTCACAACTTTATTGAAATGTGTTGCTGGCATTAAATTCAAAATGGGCAAATATTTTTCAAAAAACAATAAAATTTCTCAGTTTCAGTTTGATATGCTGTCTTTGTGGTATTGTCAGTTAAATATAATGAATATATAATGATTTGTCCAATATTGTATTCAGTTTTTATTTACATTTTGCACAGTGTCCCAACTTTTTTGGAAAAGAGGTTGTACTATTTGTGGTATTTTTTAAGTCACTGTGTATATTGACATGATTCTGAATGATCTGACATCCACAAATATCTAGCCAACGCTGGTCCTGTGTTCAGTAACTGACCAATGATAAAGGGCTGGAGCAGACGTGTCAAACCGAGTTCCTTTCAGGCCACAGCACTGAAGACTTTAGTATCCTTCCTCATGAAACACACCTGATTCAACTTATCAGCTAATTAGCAAGGCCTCTGTGAGTTGAATTCAGTGTGTTAGAAGAGGGAAATGCTAATCTTGGGGAAAGGAACTCAGTGTGACACCCCTGAGCTGGAGGATGACCAACTGATAACAAAGTCAAACACACTGAAAAGGCCATCCGAGGGGTGTGTATCATTTTTATTCAGTCTAATAGAATAGAGTGGACACTGACACATGTGAGTGTGTGTTGTTGTGCAGTGGAAATGGTATTGAGATAAAATGGTGTATTTGTTTTTAAAATTGTGCAGCAACCTTGGTTTGAACTTCACCACAGAACTGAAGGAGTGCAGGGGGGCCTGGTGTACAGGGTGGGGTTCTGGTAAAGCAGAGGGCACGAGTGAGTTTTGGTGAATTCTTGAAGCAGGTGGCATCCACCCCATGCACCCTTTCCTGTACTGTTCAGAGCGTGCCACCCTGGGCAAAACTGGCACTGGTGCCCTGGAACCTGGCCTGTCATCAGCCTGTACCAGCCTGCTGTACTCGGCAGTGTGATGAAGCCAGGATGCACAGTGACGCACTCGCGTTGGCCATCCAGTTCTGAAACACACAAAGACACACACACACACACACACATTCACACACACACACACACACACACATACACTCACACACACACACACACACACACACACACACACACACACACACACATGCACTCAGGCATGGACCCAAGTTACCAGCACCTTCCACAGCCTGAAAAAAGGACAAATTTATGCATGGCAGCATTACACAAAGAACTGAACTACAGGAAACTACTGAGCTCCCAAAATTTCTGCCTAATTAAACAGTTAATATGTAAACAAAGTCATTCAGTGTGGTTTAATATGAGATGTTCCGTTCCATACAAACATAACAAACCAGAATTGTGCGCAGAAGTGCTGATAGCAATTAGATGTCTGAAGTGTTTTTAAACACAAACAATACTAAGAACTTTGTCCAAATATGCTGATGTTGCTAATAACAAACAAAACCAAGTTCACTCTCAGAAAAAAAGGTGCTAAACTGTCTCTGGGTCAGTTCCCCTCTTGTCACTGGGGTGGAACCCTCGAGGGTCCATCTCAGTACCTTTAGTCAGGGAACATAACTGAACCATAATCCACTGAAATGATATGTTCTAAGCTGTACTGACTCCACACACCCCGTCTCGTCTCCAGGCTTTTATTTTACTGTTCTGTTTAAAACATTCGGTTATGAAAAGGTACAAATACGAACTTTTCACCTGGAGAAACTTATTTAAGGTTCACAATCAGACCTTAAAACTACTGTTGGAGCTTTGAGGGAACATTTACACTGTTTGTACCTTGATGAAGAAAAATGTACCTGAACAGAACCTTCATTACTAACAGTGTAGAATCGATCAATACTATGCAAATGTGGTCTCCATAAACTTCGTCACTATTAGCTAAATTAGCAGTGATATGTGAATTATCCCTTTAATCATTTACTATAATATGGAGTGTGTTTTCTTGGAAAATCTTCTGTTTTAATTAAAGGAATTTGATGTAAATATGTAAACACTGTTAAAATGATGTGTTCAGTGTCCAGGAGTTTAGCCCCGCCCACTCTGACAGTATAAGGAGTGTTTCAGGCTGAACTGCTTTTTGAATGAGGCACAGTTCAGGACAGCCAATTAGAACAGAGAACATTTAAATATAACAGTCTTAAAGGCAAAATAACAAAAACAGCCTGTTTAGTGATCAGGGAGAAAGATACGTTGGAAAATAGTCATGAATTATGACCATTTTTTGGTATATGAAACTATAAAACTACACAAATGTTAAAAATAAAATATAAAAAGAGCAGGATTTGAGCCATTTCAACAAATCTGGTGTATTGATGTAATGTGGTTTATGAGGGATACCGAATTCTCTATATTTTTAAAACTTTATTAATTTGTATTTTAAAACTCATTGTTATATTTTTAAAACTCCTTCTAAAGCAATATTTTCTAATACTCTCTATCTGTACCTCTTACAGTCATTTGCAGAAATTGAGTAGTCCAATATTTCACCATGGTCAGAAAGATGATTTTGAGATATTTACTGACATCTTCTGGTGTAAACAGGTAAAGCCCTGGTCTGATAAAACTGACTGATGGTAGCTGCAGTTGCCAATAATAACTTAGGTATACAAGACTGCACAATACATACAAGGAGCAGATTTTTATTTTTTTTGTCTAGCCACCCTGTGATGGACTAGGTGTTTGTCCAGGGTGTTTCCTGCCTTCTGCCTACTGAGCACTGGGTTAGGCTACAGCACCTCCCACGAGATATATATATATATTGGGACACATAGAGGGGCTCTAAAGAGTGCCTCTTTAGAGCCCCTCTATGTGTCCCAATTGCAGCCTTAGGAGAGAACTACATCAGTGCGGACTCAGGAGTGGCCTCTCGCTCAAAATTACTTGAGATACAAGCAAAGACCAGAGTGGAGGGGTTTGTTCACAGCTGTCTGTTTCATGTGGCATAAAACATATGAGCTAAAATGCGTTAATTTACCTTGTCATTCAGTTGATCATGATAATGAAATGTGCCATCAAGGGGCATTTTTCTTCCCAATTTTAGTCCTGTTCAATTCCATCTGCTAACTAGGTCTCCATCAACGGCACAATACCACCAGCACATGCTTCTACCAGGTCACATGAAGCCAGCGCTGCGCTGAGTGAGGCCAATAACGCTTTGTTGGACTCCTGGCCACGGGTGGCTGTGGCATGGCTGAGGTTTGAACTCGTGGTCTTCCAATGACAGAGCCAGTGCTTTAAAGGTCGCTCAGCTCAGGCGTCTGTCTACATACTGCTGATGTCACCAAGCGCAAACTAGGAGGAGGAAGACCGAACAGGCAGCAACCCACACAATAAATATTGACAAATGTCCTGAAGTGTTTCTGCTTGAAATCAACCAAATCAAATTTTTGGGTTTTCTGTAGAAAATTTGTGCTGCACATACACCGATCAGGCATAACAACATGACTCCTCGTTTCTATGCTCATTGTCCATTTTATCAGCTCCACTTACTATACAATAAATAATATAACATAATTAATAAAAAATCCTCAATGATTCAATTTATTGAGCATTAAATTATTTTCAGTATTTTCCATTCAAAGAAATTCTGCCCTAACCGATACTGCCAGGGAGGCTTTACTGCTGTTCCACAAGAGGGCAGCGAGGAACCAGTGGAAAGTGTGAAATGGGTCCCCAAAGATGGTCTTTCAAAGCTCAAATACTACTAACTACCAACAGGCTATTCTACCAAAACTTCATAACATATAATTCCTTACTGTAACATGAGAGCATCACGCCTCCCATTGGGCCTCTGATCACTGGCCTGCCCTCCTTCACTGGACTGTGTTTATTATTTAGGACTATATCTACTCCCAGTTTTTCTTTGCAAGGTATCGCCGTTGCTGTTCCCAGTGCCATTAACTCTGACTCCTGTATTTTCATATTTTCCTGAGTTTGGATTTTTTGTCTTTTTGGCTTTCAATAGTTTTTAGTCTGGCATTGAGAAATTTAGCCAGCATTCTTTAGACTTTCTGTTCAATGTAGTAACAGCCAGATGTGTTTGAGATTTATTCTCTGAATTTGCATCAATGAGGCTTCAATGAGCTGGAACGAACCTGTGTGGCTGTGTGTTAAGCTGTTTAGGCCGTCTCGCTAAGCTAACACAGCTACTACTGCTAATGAGGATGTTGAAGCAAAAGCAGCTTGAAATAGCAGCTCCACATACAAACATACGTTCTTTTCCTCAGATTCGGGTCTTTATGTCCTCAAAACCTGCATCTGTGAATCTTTACTGAGCTGGAATCCACCTGTGCTGTGCTGTGGTGCAGCTGTAGCATGCTAAGCTACTAGAACAGCTCAACATGCCATTTTTGAGTGTATTAGATGGATGTGGAATATGAATTTGACAGATTGCCTGTCAGTTGTCCCATGCTGCTGCCTAATGTCTTTTAAAATTCAAAGTGTTAAAGGTTAAAATCTCTCAGACATTTTTTTGACAAATCCTGATAAATTTACTTACTCCATTTTTTGCTTTTATACAATATAAGAGCCCCATTGACAAACACTGCTCTGCGGCTGTCTGAGAACACAGGTGTCTTGCTGCACCCTGACTACCAGCAGCAGTAGACAGCCAGGCTGTTGGGAAGCACTCAAGCCAGCTAGTTGCATCAGAATCACCCCAGAAACTGCCATGAAAGAGCTGTGAGAGGAATAATAAGAGCTCAACCAGATTAGGCTTTAAAAAGACATCGGCAAAGAAATCAGTTTTATTTATATTGTGCTTTTTCCAATAGACAGTTTCATGTAGCAGCTTTACAGGTCATGACCCAACAGAACCCAAGGACTAGAGTGAAAAGGAAAACCTTCCTAATATGATATGAAGAAGAAACCTTGAGTGAAGCCAAGTTACAATTAAGTCAGAGTCACAGATGATAAACCTGCCACATTCACACCAGAACCTCTCTCTTATAATGAAGGTGCCGTAAAGGGTTCTTTGGAGGAACGCCATAGAAGAACCAATTGTGAATGTTTCTTTGGAGAACCATGTCTATAAGTGAGATGTGTGAGCTCTTTGGGGAACCAAAAATGGTTCTTCAGTGAACTCATTGTGACCACAGTGTAGTACGGAGGTACAGCATTGGCAGAGGCAGAACAGCATCCTCCCACAATGATGGTGCTGTTTCTGGGACACCAGGTAGCAACATCTCCACTGGCATCATGATACATTTCAGAACCTCAGGTGACGTCCATTCCCAATTCTAAAGGAGGATTTCATCTTCCTCAGGGCGTCAGAGAAGCTGGTGATCCAGTGACCCACCCCCAGATACTAGGCAACAGGAGCAGTGGTCATCAATAACTGCAGCTGGAGCTCGGGAGTAAAATCCTTGGTAGGGCAGTGTCAGTGTGTAGGACAGTATCAAGCGTTGCTGTGGGTTCAACTGCAGGTTGGAGGCACAGAGACAGTGTTAAAAACTGCAGAACCTGAGAAACTGTGGTTAAAGCAGCTGCAGAAACAGGAATAAGAAGACATGCAGTGCAGGGTTACCACCTGTCTGGGATTTCCCTGGATTGTCCAGGTTTTTGGTCACCTGTCCTGGAAAGAATTAATTCCACTCCTGGACACAAAATAAACAGGAATCCAAGCATTGTTATTGTAATACTATTTAATAGTGTATCTTATGAAGTTAAACTGCTTATTTTTATGCAGTGGAGACATTTGTAAACAAAGAACGAGCGTTTGATTAGTTCAGATTACCCTCAATGTAGACGCTGTTTGGGAATCGTCCACTGTTGGTGATCTTTAGGCCATATGCAGTACTTCAGTGTGATAAATGAGAAGATCAGGTTCTGTAGCTGAACTGATATCTATCTACCTCACACTGCATCATCAGCACAGCTCCCTGTCTGCTCAATGCAGTAGAAAAACAAGCCACTGAACAAGTTTGCAGGGCTGAGGAGGCAAATCTGAGCTCCCATGAAGCAAGTGCACTTTTTAAAGAGTTCTGTACATAATCAAGCAAAGTTTGTTTTTTTCTATACTGAGAGTGAAAATATGAGCAAAACATACTTCTGTGGAGACTAGTACAAACGAGAACGCTCATTTTGAGTAGATTACCACAGCAAACTCTCACAGTTCTAGAAACAGTAACGGACACATCAACATACCGTTCTAGTTTACAGTCTGGTGCACTATTACATAATAGTGTTCAGTGACTTTATGCTCACCTGGAAAAGTAAAGGCTTCTGATGCGAATGTCACCATCAAATACCATGTTGGTACCATTCTTGAACAGGTACGATAAAACTGGAACCTTCAGTACTAAACTGATGACTACCGGAAAAAGCAGAGTTCCAGTTTTTCTAGTGGTTCTTTGTGGAGTGGAAAAACACCCAGAGAGAGAAGAGAGACTGAAATTGGAACCAAAAACTGGATCGTAGTTGAAAGGCAGGACAAGAGAACGAAGAGTCAGAGAGACAGACAGCTAGTCGAAGAGTTAAGACGACTATCCAGAGACTTGGCAGATGTTAGACAGCTGGGGAACAGAAGCTACAGCCGGAAACAATACAGCAGAGGTGGCTGTGAAAATCACTGCAGAGGCGAAGACACAGGAATCAGTAGACGTCACAGACGCTGCAGGTAAAGGAGCCATGGAGGCAGAATATGCAGAGGCTGGTGTGACAAGAGAGACCATGGAAAAATAAAGACTACAAAAGCTGGAATCTTAAGACGGTGAAGACAAAAAACTGGGGACAGGCAGGCAGAGAAGCTGGAGTGGCACACAGACAGTATTGGAGACAAAGTTCTGACACTGAAGTAAGAACCTTAGACTTTACACCAGACTGAGCTTCACCTCAGACTGAGCTTTACATCAGACTGAGCTTCACCTCAGACTGAGCTTCACATCAGACTCAGCTTTACATCAGACTGAGCTTCACCTCAGACTGCTAGTGCTTTGGCATAGAATCCACATGAGGCAGTGACGTACTGAGCTGAACAGGCAGTGGCACAAGAACGGATGAAGTCCCTGAGAGGAAGGCAGACCGATGACATTCCTACTCCTCCTTAACATCAGTAAAGCACTGGGGACACCAGCAGGCACAGAAATGTCCTGTTTTTGCCGGTTGGCCAAATGCAGCGTGGAGCAGAGCTGTAAACCACCCCCAGTGTGTTAACTCACTGTCTAATGTCATTGTTAAACCGTAGCAATACACGTCTCAGAATGTTTAGAGAGTGGAATACAGCCCAGTGTCACTTACTGCTTTCATGGGAGGTGAAGTTTTCTCCTCTGCAGTGATTTCCTCAGCCACTTCCTGCTGTGTTTCCCAGGTTTTCCGTACATCAGAGTTAATCTGGACGAATCCGGAAGCCAGCGTCATTATCACAAGTAGGTTACATCATAGGCAGTGTTACTTCCTCTGTTGCTGCCCTCTGCTGGTCTTTTGTGTTTTTTTCTTTCTTTCTCTGTTTCCTAGGAGAAAGTGTTTGGATCAGCTGATCTGGTGAAACTGATGTCAGCTGACTACCATGCATGCTGTGATTGGTGGCTGAATGAAGATTCGCCCTTGATAAAGCGACAGCCATAAGGTGCAGTTGGCCCGAAGTGGTTTCTCCACGTGGTCCATGGTGGTCTTTAGGAAAGCTGTGGTTTTGTGTTCTGTGTGTTTGTTGTTCTCCTGGCGTTTTGGAGATACAGACCAATTAGAATCATGATCTAGATTTGATGTTTGCACTCAGTTTTGTTTAGCTTTTATCTTTTTGATACTTGTACTATGTTGCCTGTTTTCTGATACTGTAACTCACTAAAAGTCAACAACTCTGCAACTCTTTGCCTTGACATACAATACCTATTCACTTGAGCATTGAATCGATGTGCTGGTCTATTTGTTTTTGTGTTGCTATCTGTTTTTCCCTAGACTAGATTAAATCATGTGTGGACAGTGTGGGGGTCATAAAACACTGAAATAAAGACAAAAAAGTCTGGGAAATGGGAAACCAAAACTGTCACTGTCAGATAAACAGTACATGAGTCTCTAAGAGGTTTCCATATCTGAAAGAAATCTATCCATTTCTGTTCCTCCTTCGACTGTGAGAAGACAACCCAACACCAACACTGAGTCTGAAAGACTGTGCAGCCATCAAAAAGCCTCACTGAGAAAAGGAAAAAGACAAACAAAGAAGCTGCTAATTTTCTCAGAACACTGGAGTGACCACCCTATGAGTCCAGACCTCATCATTGAATGTGTTTGGGATTACTTTGATTGTGAGCAGCAGTAAATGCAACTAACTTCTAAGACTGAACTTTGAAGGTAAGGAAAAAATATTGCAGATTTCTTCGAAAAAACTGAAAGCAGGTCTCCCAAAAGAATGGAAGCTATAATAAAGGTAATTTGAGAAAAACCTATTGAGTTTGTCATACAGAACTGAGAAAACCCGTTCTGAATGGCTGAATGAAGGAAGGTGGTTCCTTCAGGTGGTTTATTCACTAGAAGAAAATTACATCATGTTTGAAACATGCACCCCTTTCTCTAACAGGGCAGTTGATTCTGTCACCATGGCTCTGCTTATCTTGACAATCTGAAAAATCCAGACCAAAAGGATCACCTGCCAATCAGATTGTTGAACTTTTTTCTGTGCAACATTTGCAGAGATCTGTAAAAACTACAACCCATCTCCAGAAAAAGTTGGGACACTGTGCAAAATGTAATTAACAGAATGCAATGATGTCTAAATCCTTTAAACCCTATGTTCAATTGAAAATAGTACAAAGACAACTAATCAAATGATGAAACTTATGATGAAAGTTTTATTGTTTTTTTGAATCTGACCATTTTGATTTTGATGCCAGGAACACGTTCCAAAAAAGTTGGGACGGGGGCAACAAAAGACTGGTAAAGTTGTGTAATGCTAAAAATCAACTGGTGGACATCTGATTAGGTTAACTGGCAACAGGGCAGTAATATGATTGGACACAAAAAGAGCATCTCAGAGACACTAATTTAGAAGTAAAGGTGGGGAGGATTTCACCACTCTGTGAAAAACAAATAGTGCAGAAATTCAATAATAACATTTCTATATGTAAAATAGCAAAGAACTTGGGGATTTCATCATCTCTACTACATAACAGCAGTAGAGATAGTAGTAGTAAAAGTAATAGTAGTAGAGAATCTGGAGAAATCTCTGTATGCAAGGGACAAAACCAATAATTGATTTTGGCTGGCCATGATCTTCAGGCCCTCAGGCAGCACTGCATTAAAAACAGACATGATTCTGTAGTGAAATCACTGCATGGGCTCAGAAAACAGTCTATGAAAACAGTTCATCGCTGCATCCACAAATACATAAAGTTAAAGCTCTAAAGCACAGAAGAAACCATATATAAACAGGATCCAGAAACGCTGCCACCTTCTCTGGGCCTGAGCTCATTTAAGATGGACTGAGGCAAAGTGGAAAAGTGTCCTGTGGTCCAATGAATCAAAATTAGAAAGTCTTTTTAGAAATCACAGATGCATTATTGCACATTATGACATGAAAATATGACAAAGGAGACCCTGAACTGCTGAACAGCTGAAATCCTGTATCAAACAAGAACAGGAAAACATTTCAGTGTTTCAACATTTGATATGTAGTATTCGATATGCAGTCATTTTGCACATTTTGGAACCGTGTTTGTACTTGTTGAAATTGTCCTAATTTATTCAGACTGATATTCAATCAAATGTGAGGAGATAAACCACAGCATTATATTTCTTTTATCAATATAAAATAAGAACCTGAAGTTTGTACTAAAAAAGCACTAATTCATAAGAAAAAATAAATTCATTTAATAACTGATGTAATAAATAAATGTAAGTGTGTAAGCCATATGAATGTATTCTATAAAGAAGCTGTGCATTATTCTAACTGCTTATCACAATGTTATGTACACTTTCCCTTTTTTGCATCGTCAACTGAAATAACCAGATGAGACCAAAACATTAAAACCAAACTCTTTTAATACTAACGAAGAATCATTTGACTACTTATACATGGCTACCATGAATATTTCTACAAAAATGCAGTAAAAATAGTATTGATATATACAGATATGTCTTCTTCGTGTAGGCAGGCAGGTCAGACATGTAAATGACCAGAACACCGATAATCTTGCATGAGTACACAATACAGATATTGTTTCCTCAACAACATTAACACTAACTCCTGATCAAACAAACAGACTTTCGAAAGAACAAATATAATATAACGTGTTCAGAAAGAAATGTTAAAAATGGAATACAATATTCGGACCTTTTACGGATACAATGTGCAGTGATTAACAAAGTGCTGGAATCACACAGAAATGTTCAGTAATGTACAGCAAGGTAAGCTGGTGTCATCTGTGTACATGGAACTGGAATTTGTAGATTGTAGGTGTGTGTGTGGGAAGAACTTATTGGTGCAAGATGGGCACAACAGGGGGCGCCATCTTAATGTTAAGGTCAAATCAGTCTTGTTATATTGCTTTTGTCCAGTACACAGACGTGACTGTTTGACCAGTGGTGTGTTTGCACCAGAAATGAATACTCAGTATAAATGTTATGTAAATGTACACTAAATGTTAATATACAGACACAAGGTTTAACGTCTCCCACTGTTCTGGTTTGGGGATTTATGTTGCTACATGGTTTGGTCCCTTTGTCTAGGAGGCAACGACATCATGCATTGCTAGTGAGATAGACTCTAATTGAGCCTGAGGCAGAGAGATACACTGGTGAGTCACAATGCAGATAGGAATGCGGTAGCAGAATGGAGAGTACCCTGTTTCCTGAACTGTAGTGAGCTGAAGCCATGCATATCGCCAACTAGAGGACTAAAAAGGAATGACAGGCAGACCACATGAATCTGTTGTCATTCAATTGCTCCTCAATCCCTTGTAATCTCTCACGGTATCGAATCTTAGAGGAGAATATTTTAGGGAGAAATTCAGGGGAGTCATGTTATATGAAGTGTACTGACACTGAAGCTACAGCCTTTAACACTGAACATTAGACACTTGAGCCTGCTAGCTTCTTCAAGCTTGTTTAGAAAGCACGTTCATGACATTAATACTTCACACAAGAGCTTCAACCGGTTACTACGACAATGGCACATCACAGCGCTGATGTGTTGTGGGAAAAAGACTCATTCGAACATCATTACACAAGCTAGAAATCTGAACATATTAAAGTGAGATTCTGGTACGGAAAATGAAAAATTTACAGCATTTGGTGGGGGTCGTAGTTGTTTGGAGGGGTCGAATGACGTCTTAAGTACGCATACCAACTTTCCAGTGTATCTCAACACTTCCTGTGTATCATGGTACATGAAATTCCAGAGCTCTAACTTATGGTGCAGGATGTGTCTACTGTCTATTGTACAATAGGTGATACACTGAGAGGAGCTGAAGGACATGCTTCAGCGTCTTCATTACATACAGCAGGCTATCTATTTTAATGAAGGATCTGTAGGACCTGCAAACGAGTTAGGCACACCAAAAAGACAGGAGTTGATTAAGGAAACAACAGCTCTTCATCAACCCCAAACCTTTTTGTAATAGCACTTGGAGGATTCGTGTGACGTGATGACACTTCGCGTTAGCAGTGTAATTCTGTCACATCATGCGGTTGGTTGTGTTCTTCTGACTCTTTTAGGAAACTTGCAATTGCTTGTGGAGACACATAGAAAGGAAAGCATCGGATGGGATCGGACAAATACAATAATCTCAACAAACAAGTAACCATGCATTGTACAGATTCCTGAAATGAGACAGGATTGGCTTTTCATGTCATATCATTAGTAACAAGAACCTGCAATACCGAGTGTTTTTATTCGTCTTCTTTTTTTCGTTTTACATCGAGCTTTCGGAGGGACGAGACACAGAGAAGAAAGGTTCACATTTAGGAGAAATCACAGAAAAGTCATATCACAGTTTCTCCACTGCTGCATGGTTCCAGGGTTCGTGTTTCAGTTCAACGTTGGAAAAAAAGCATCGTTTTCTGTGAGAAACACTGTCGAGCGAAGAGAGACATGAGCCAGATCTCGACCGGACTGATATACACACATACACACCAAAGGAAAACACACAGACAGAGCGTGAGCAGAGCATGCACTGGCCTGATGAAGGAGGTCAGCATTCAGGAATATAAAACAAGGAAGTGGTTTTGTTTGAATGATATACTTTTCGCAGGTGCTACTTGTGACTCATGCAACGCTGGTTTGCCGCCACATTTGTCGGTTAGCATGCCCTTATGAAAATAAAACTATTTATCGCCAGCTGGGGGCGGTGCTGCGGGGTCGTGGGGAATGAGCAAGAGCAAAGGCGCAGCTCACCCAGCTAACAGCAAATAGGCACGTCTAACACTGGCATGCGGTGCGCCCCGTTAGCCAATTAGAGACAGCTGAAAGCAGGGACAAGTGACCAGGGCGACAACATAGTCGGTATGAGAGAGAGAGTGGGCACTTATGGACAAGAATGGACAACGGAATATAAAATTTGTTCACATGGTGCACATGGAGAGTGTGACTGAGGGATGGACAAGGAAGACCCTCCGGCCCCTGCTAGTGTGACGAGCCAGGTGCTGAAGAGTGGGGAGGGTTCCTAAGAAGGGATACGGGGGGAGGCGACAGATTTTCTGGGTTTCGAGGCCAGAGGACAGCAAGCTGGACAGGTCAATGCGAGACGGGCAGGTCCGGGCGTCGGGTCTGGATGATTTTTGGTTTGGGGCAATTCTTTGGTTCCTCCTCTTCCTCAGTGTCGCTGTCGCACACATGGACCACCACGCTGGGTGTGGACTCTGTGCCGGCGTGCAGTTCGAATTTCTCTCCTAAGAGAGTGAGAGAGCAGGAGATACAAGAAAGAAAGTACATTTAGTTTGAGATTCAATCAGGAATTTACTGATCCAACTTTTTCTCTCCCAATACCAACATGTGAACTCCCATTTAGACTGTGTGTACCAGAACTCTGTTAAAGAGCCCAAACATTTCATATTTTTCCTTGAGATCGTCTTATGATGCAGTTAGGTGGTTTTAAGTACCAAAAACAGTCATAATTCATTTTTACATGACCATTTTCCAACCTCTCATTATCCCTTTGAATTAGAACAGGTCATTGTTCTTGCTGTGCCTTTAAGCCTTTAAAAAAATACTGTTGTTGATGGGATGAGCTCATTTATGATTGGTTGCCCTGTATTGTGCCTCAGTCAAAAACCCTCTTTATAACTTCACAGACGGTCATACATCAACTTTATTTTCTTAGATTTGTGCAATTTTTTACATAATATTGTACTAGAAGGTTAATAAAGTTACACTGACCATGACTAAGGTTTTGTTCACATTGCAGATAATACTGGCCCAAATTCGGTTTACTGCTGTCTGAACAGGTCATGCTCCTGAACCAAAGTTCTGTCCGGCATTCAAAAAACCAGTAATTCAACAAACAAGACTCTCCTTTATTCTTCCTTTAGATTAACAGACCCCATTGGTTTGGCATCAAACTCAGCTATGTGAACTGCTACTTTGAACTTGGAGGATAAACAGTGAATATCGCTTCAGTTGTAAAAGTCAGTTATAGAAAAAGCAGCTCAGTTCAGCACCACATATAAAAGTGGCCCTGGTCCAAATCAGAGTTAAACATGTCAGATTAAATGTGTTTTTGCTGTTCACACTGTCACACAAAAACAACATTAAATTGGACCTTTATCTGCAATGTGAATGTAAAGAAATGTAAAGAAAACCCAAAACAAAGCAACAACAACAACAACAAAAAAACACATTCGGCAGAAATCCGACATCTGACCTCTCCACACCAATTCAGTACATTGGAATCAGCGCATTACTAACTACGATGCTTGTTTTTTTCTGTAACAAGAAGAAACAAGAAATAAAAAGAAAGTGTAATGATTCACATGAGTTTACCTAGAATGGTGTGATGGGACTGTGGTCAATGTTTGAGAAGAGGCTACTGTTCACTTTAAGACCAGTGATTTAATGAAAAGTTAGAATACTCTTCCCTGTAGTACTAAAACTGTACAGTAGAGGGGGCTCTCTTTCCATCAAAGCACAAAAACCTGAAGGCATGGCAGATATTATAGATAAGGGAATTTGCAATAGCCGGGGACTGAGTGCTGCAGTCCAGACAGTCCTTATAATTGCTTTGTGGCTGGAGAGAGACAAAGGGCGTCCTGAATGCCTGGCAGTCGACACAGCAGAGCAACACTTCTGCGTGAACGTGCGGCTTCAAATGGCACCCACAGGCAATAACTCTCCACCTTGTGCAAAAAAGGCGGAGAAGAACCCAGAGCTAATGGAACTGGCCACAGAATTGAACTCTACGCGCAAGGTCACCGAAGCGGTTTACAAGAGTCTTGTCAATCAAAGTGCCCAGCCTTCCTCATCTAAAGCAACCGAAAGTTTGGATGGAATTTTCCTCTAGAAACCCACAGCCCCTTCCACAGAGGGGAACGAATACAAAAAACAGCCAAAGGCAGTGAGATCAGGAGAGCTTAGTATTCATTTAAAGCAGCAGAGGAGAGCATCCATATCACTGCTGTCGGAACAAAACCTCGTATCTCCAAAATGGTAACTTTACAGGAGAAGGAAAAAACCTACTTTACTTTTAATGTAAGTCAATGGAACCAGAATTTTTTCCAAGTAATTTTGGGTCATTTCTTTTGGTCCATCCATCATGAAATTTACACACAATGTAAAGGGCAGTGATACGCTGAATTCAGTGGAATCCAAGGAGACAGTTTCTGTTTTCAACCTGCCCTCGTCCACTTCAACTCACCACTTGGGTGTGCGTCAGACCTACATTGCACAAGTGGCCACTCATGGCAGATGGCCAGGAGGGGGCAGCGAGGAGCGGATTATTCAAATGGAACTCACTGGCCCTCAGCAGGTTAGCCTTAGTGTGCTAATCAGCTAGCCATGCACACTTTCCAATGCAAAACGTTTTTTGAGATGTTTGGACAGAACAGATGCAAAATTTGTGAATGACGGCTGAAAAAATTGCTCTGACTACAAACTTGCAATCCCTTTCCTAACGTTTAGCATGCTAACTAGCCAGTTAGCAGAGCAAAGTGATGGAGTTGTATTAGCAGTCAAGTATAACAGATGGAGCAGTTTGAGATCCAAAGCCAAGCAAACTGAACGCTGTGGTTTTGAAACGTAGAGCATTATAAAGTAGTTCACTGCTTTAGCTTGTAAACCGCTTTGTCTGCCTTTGTTCTCAGGTTTGAAAAGAGAAACGCGTCGGGTCTCAATCATTCATGGGCAAGTTTTGCTGCAGAAGTCGACATTGCTGTTCGCTTCATATACATGTTCTGAGGTCCTGTAGTCCTTCATCAGTGGTCAGTTTAGACCACAGGACCTCTGTCGGATGGATATTTTGGTTGGCGGACTATTCTGGATTAATAATTTAATGGTCTTTGGCATCATCTTCCGATTTAATTAGGGATGTCCCGATTTCTTTTTTACTCCTGAACCGAGTCGTTTAATGTTGACTATCAGCCGTGATTTCCGAGTCTGATCTGCTATTTGTGTTTTCACAGGTAATAAAGCTGCACAACTGTTCATAACTATACATTCAACAGCATCACAGGATGGGGTTTTTAGTGTTCAGCTGTAGGTTTTGGGTTTAGGTTCTGTTTAGATTTAGAGTGGGGTTTTTGATTAGAACACTGAAGTTCAATTTAATCAACATTTAGTTCAATGTCAGTTTATGACATGGTAAAAATCTACAAAGCATCTACAGTGGATTGTTTAAATAAAGTGTTACCTGAAAGAGCAGACATGTCCATTTTTACATGTCTTACAAATAACAATCAATGACCAATTCAGCGCAATGTGCATAGAGATGGCATCGATCCAATTCTAGGGACCCGTACCAGAAACGCTGGATCCAGCATCGGTGGGAAAAAAAAGAATGAGTCTGATCCAATTCTGTAACAAATCTGTTCTGTAATAGCACTTAACACCGTGTGATTAGTATCAGTATGATACTATCAGTACCGGGTTTCAATATCAGTATCGGAAAAGTATAAAATGTTACTGCGCCGTCTCTGAATGTGCAGGATACCCTGTTAAGACAAGATGGAATCTCACAAGATTTGAATATAGTTTTCATGTGAAACCTCTTATTTATTTCCATGCACATGTGCGTCTGAGAGACAACAAACGCCGAAAATCGCGTTTGATTAGTTTCATAAAATGACAGTACAAGAATTTCTTTAACGTTGTTCTTTTTATGGCGCCTTTTCACAAGATACACCAGTTAGAGTTCCAGACGAAAACAGACTTGGTCCATCCAGCCCAGTTACGGCCCTAACAGTCGCTCTTTGCAGTAATCAGAAGGTTCTTCAGGCTTTTGAGTGTGTGGTTCAGCCTGAGCAGACAGGAAAGATTTACCAGGTCAACACCGCAGAATGCTCTCTCTCTCTCTCTCTCTGTGTTTTTACAGGCTAAGAGGAGTGTAAACACTGAGATGAGCTGGGTGATGAGCGGAGTGTGTGCGACTGCGTGTACATGCAAAGAAGAAAAGGCGGAGGAACCAGGCAAAGTTTACAAGGGCACCTCTGGGTTGCTTGACTGTGCTGTGCTTGCGTAGCTGATGGACAGACTGCGTGCGCTGGGATGAGGAGCATTTCTCTATTTCTCTGGAAAATCTCTGCACTGCACTCTACACTTATAAATCATATTAACCTTTAGAAGTCGAGGGGTGCTGTCGTTGTGCTGTGCTACATAAGCGTAATTTAATAATTCCATGAATATTTATATGTAGAGAACAGAGATGCACAACGATATTCACACAGTTCATAATCCAGTATGATTCAGTGGTGCTCAGTACTTTACTTACTCCAGGCAGCTAAATGTACTGAATTTAGAGGCTCATACTGAACAATACAGAACGATCTATTATGTTATGCTCCAAATGATGATATCAGATATCATATCTGTATCGACAGATAACTGTTTCAAGAAATGTTAACCTACCTGTCAGAGGAACTCAGGCATGTTTTAATGGATTATTTTATGATGATAAAACCTAAATATATAATATGTTTTTTAATATTTTACAGTGACATGGATGACAAGAAATAGCCTTCAGTCAGTGTCTCTGAATTTCAGTGTCAACAGCATTGCCAGATCCAGTTTATGAGGAGCCTGAAAAACTTCCTGTTTTGCCTATTATATCTGAAAACGCTAAAGGGTGTCCGTGAGTGGGTCCTATAGCTGCGAAAGGAGCTAAACAGCTAAAAAAAACTAAACTAAAAATTAAAGCTGTTTTTGACCATTTGTCCAGGACCTTAGTTTAATGTTGGAAAGTAGAAGGATTTATTACTTTAAAATAATAAAAAAATACCAGTATATTTCCATTTTTCTACAGCAGGCTTTGGACAGAAGGACGCTAGCATTACTGCTACTGAGCGCAAACTGGTTGGCGAACAGCCTGGAGCAGCTCACTGGCTCTGGAGCGGTTTGTGTTCACTGACATCATGAATGTACATGAAGTCCAGTTATATAAAAGTTCTATATAAAAATGACAGACCATTTATAAACCATAATTTTGCACAATAGCTCCACAGGAATCCATTCATTTTAGACTTGCTCAGGAGCGCCATCTAGTGTCTGACAAACCCAGAAGACATTACTGACTGGCAGTTGTCCTCAGTGCAAATTCTCTGGCATCACTCCATAAAGCTCCGCGCCTGGCAGCAAAATGAGCCCATTCAAGGTGAATGTGAAGATTTCATCATCAGACCACAGTTCTTATATCAGTGCATCTCTAGGGAAGAATTATATTTACATTCCATTTCCATTCTGTAAT